TCTGACCCCCACAAGCCATAGAACATGCTCCACTTGCTCCCTGCCCCCTGCACTGGGATTGGACCCCTGGAGCCTGGCACCACCCACTCCCCTCCCCCTGCCCAGGACTGGAGACACCCAGGGCCCCTTGGAAAATGCCAATTCTGGGTTTTCACTTGTTTTTTTACAAGAGAAAAATAACAGAGGAAGTCTCCTGTTGTGAAGCCCTCAGCAAGACAGCAGCAGGGCAGAGCAGGGCAGGCTGGGGGGGGGGTCGTTATGGCTCCCTAACTCCATCCCTGGGGGTAGCCTGTGACATGAACAACACATGCCCCCTGAGGCTGGGGGGTATAATGACCACCCGCAGGCAATGTCAGCAGCAGGGGCAAGTGGGGACCGCCTGCAGGCAGCTGTAGTGATGTTGGTGGCAAGGGTGGACCAAGCAGAGACCCAGGCAGCTGCAGCAGTGTCGGCAGCAAGGCGGGGTGGCGAGTGGCAACTGCCCAGACGCCAGCAGCAGTGGCCAATCCTGGAGGGGCATGTGCCCCCTGTGCCCCATTTATGTCACCTATGGCCTGTGACACACGTCTGCCCGCCTAGCAGCACCTGGCAGCCTGGGGGCTGAGAATCACGTGGCCAGGACACGTGCACTTGGGAGGCAGGGGTGGGCGGTGCCACAGGAAATGCCAAGGAGGGAGAGCGGGACTCTTCCACGGGCCCCGCAGACACAACCTCAGTCAGATCAGGAGGCTCCCCTCCCCCGCGGCAGAGACGGAGGGAGAAGACGTTATTTGCGCGGGCTGAGCGCGCCCCCAGGCAGGGCAGCGCGTGGGGGAGGGGCGGGCTGGGGCCCCGGTGCCTCCCGGGGTGCTCGCAGCAGCAGCAGGAGCCGCGTTCCCCGGACCAGCCCCGCCCGCCCGGTCCAGGACGCAGCAGACCCACTGCTCTTCCCCACGCAGCACATGCCGCCTTCCTGCCTCTGCCCTCACCTCCAGTCAGTCTCCACTGGTGACACGCTGTGGCCCCACCCCCTTCCCGGCCGGCTGTCTCAGTGCGCATGCGGCCGCAGTGGCCGTTCTCCCCAGCGCTACCGGGGCGGGGCCGCGTGCGCATGCGCTGCTGTGATTCGGGGAAGCGCGCGAGCTGGTGCGGGTGGAAGTGGGACAAGTGAGAGGGTGGTGGTATCGCCTCCGGCCTCCCTGGACAGTCGTCCGCCCATGGCAGGATCTTTCCCTGGGGAGAGTCAGCGGGGGTGGCAGCAGGTGATCATTCCAAGAGCCATTCACCATTTCTGTTACTTTCTGGACATCTTTTGTTTCCTTTCAGGGTGGAGAGCAGCCGAAGCACAAAAAGGGCACGTGCCTATATATAAAATCTGTTCCTTTGATAGCCCACTGTCCTGAAAAGAGCCCTGCAAGGCTGAGCCAGAGGCTCCTAAAGCAAAGGGTGCTCTTTCCATTGACTGATGTGGGCTTTTGATCTGACTCTCAGTGTTATTTTCAGGCTGGTGAGAGTATTAAAGGAGCACATTTAATATAAATGCAGATCTCTGTCTTGTTGCTTGGATGCATTCCCTACTTCGAAATGATTTAGCTGGGGTTTTTTACTGCATGCTTCAGGCCCTCTGGTCCTTGCAAAATCATATTAGAAACTATGAGCCTATTAAAACCAAATGTTTCTTTACAGTAGGGTCTTGTCTAAGGTGGTTAAGCCACACAAGCAGTGCGTACAACATTTTATTAGGTTTAAGAAGAATATAAAATGTCAGATATACCAATGTATCCTAAGCTAATATCATTTCAAGGAGTTTTATGACCATTACAGTCAAGTATGCAGAGTGAGGAGTTGTTTCATAAGCACTGGAAAGTCTTTTGCTCATTGTAGGTCTAAAATATGCAAATAATGCTGAGCTCTAGTTAGTTATATTATAAAGTTTTCCAAATGTGCTGTTTCTGATTTGGTCGTAATTTACTGGGTGTGGAAACCTCACCAAGGCAAAGCTATTCTGTTAAACAGTCTTGACCTTAAGCATTCGACCAGCAATACTTCATTGTTCTTAAGATTCTGTTTTCTAAACTTCAATTTTTGCCAGGCTAGCTCTTCACATATACTGCTTTAGATTCAAATATAAAAGTTCCCAGGTATTTCTAAAAACAAAAGATTCTACAGAAGTCTCTCCATTAGTTCTATAGAAATAAAGTTTTGTTAAAGTAAAGTTATTATTTTGGGAGAACGAGTAAGGCTACGTGTCCTGCCAGATGTGCTCTGAATACATCATTATGTTGACCAAATATAATATTTGTTTCTTTTCAAAAGGGAGTTTACTTACTAGGTCAGAGTTAAGGCTAGGTTGTAATAAAGTATGCAATATTTTATTCATGGTAAAAATTATTTGCTTATAATGTCCCTAATTATTGATTTCTTTGCTTTTAAGTGCTTGGGTTCTGAAAAATTGATAAATAAATACAATGTTATCACTCAGCAACATTAACTGATCTTTAAATTAAGCTCCTAGTTTCTGCAATATATTACGAAAGCCATTTTTGCTAAGAAGAAATGACTTTGTTTTAAAAAATAACATAGTAAAGTGGAGTGAGCACCGACTTGAAAGCCAGAACTCCTAAATTCTAATCCTAACTCTGCCGCTGTCTTGCTGGGTTGTCTTAGGCAAGACACATAGACCTAAAAATACCTTCTTTAAAAAGTGGCTGGCATCATTAAGGCAGTAGAAGCTTTACCAATTACTTGAGTGAACATAGGATCAAACCTTAATTTTGGAAGTCATAGTCCAGAAACAAAATGGAACATTCTTATATCTAGACGCTGGTGACTTCATGTGCAGCACCTCTGAAGATCAAGAACGTCTAATATTGGGGGATTCAACATTTGAGACCATTTTTGCAAATATAGGCTTCAGCTTCACTGTATCCCAGTCTGTAAAACTAAGATAATACAATATAACTGCCTAACAGTTGGTATGAGAATCAACTGGTTAGCATTTCTGCTGTGTACAGTGCTGAACATGCACAAAGCTATATAATTATTACTAAAAGTATTACACACTTTATTTTGTAACCTCCTTCCAGACTTACTTCTGTACTCATGGTGAGCCTATCTAACCACCTGTGTCATATATGAAAATGAGATCTCTGTAATGTGTCACAATTTACAAAAAATGTTAACACAACAGGCTAACAATATTTGGAAATGCTACGTGAAATGCAATATGGTCCTGTAGATAGGCCCTGTACCAGGACCTATTAAAGATAATTCTGAAACTGACACTTTACCCTTAAAAGCCTCTGTTCCTCCCTCCACCCTTTGCATATAGATTGTAAACTCTCCAAAGAAGAGCTGTTTCTAGATTTTTACAGTGCCTGTCAAAACAGGGCACTGATCTAAATTGGAGCACTTAGCTGCCACTGAAATAAAAAATAAATAAATAATAGCACATTACCTAGGTTTGTGTTATCCTTTGTATACAGATATTTCCTGACGGTAAAATATATTATTAATGGAAACTCCATTGGTTACGACTTTTAAGATTAGACTGGACAAAAACTTGCAAAGAAAAATCCTGCATCAACAGAGATTAACAGAATGATCTAAGGAGGTCTCTTCCATCTCTAAGTTTCATTATTCAAGCTAAACAAAAATGTTCTCCATGAACATACTAATCCATCTAGTAAATCTAAGCAACTGTATCGCAGTAAAGGTCTCTAATACAATAATGTTACAGTTTTAGAATTGATGGAATCAACATTAACAAACTCAATTTCACAAATTGCTTTTAACATGATTCAAACCCTGAGCAATTCACAGTGGTTTCCAATGCTATTTTAGCCACTTTGGGTTTTTAGTTACTTTTGGTTTCTTATGCTAAGAACTGTTGCTAAAGAAAATGAATGACAATTTACCATTGCCAGTAACTGCTTCAATAACTGCTTCAGCATTTCAAAAGAGCTGTATACAACAATGGAATATTTCCAGGGAAGCTGTAACAGGGAACTTGAACCCTGTTAACAGGCAGAGAGGGAAGCAGAAGGAAGAAGAAAGAAGAGATAGAGGGAGTAGATAACTGCCAGAGAAAGAAGGCAGCGGCTCCCTTTAAAAGACTTCAGAGAAGTATGGGGGTGGAGGGGGGAGGCTGCTAATTAAGAGAAGAAGCACTCTTGGGGTGAGGCATGATTAGGAGATAGAAGGTAGGTGGCTGAGCTTTAAAAAGGGAAGCCAAAAGCTGCAAAGATACAAGCCACCTGGCTCAGGTAGGAAGCATGGGACAAGGCGGTTCTGTGTATTCCAGGTTCCTAAAACCCCAGGAGGACTGGCCCTGGCCTTGCCAATGGGGATGAACTACCACATGGGAGAAGAGAGCAGCGACAGGCTGGTGCGGTTGCATCAGGTAGATCCTGAGGCATTGCCATGGGGGACTGGTGCCTCCTGACTCTGGGCAGGCACCAGCAGCCAATCACCAGCTGGAGGGTAGGGGGTCCCCAGTGGCCGATCACCAACCTCGGAAGTGCCAGCAGCAAAAATCAGAAGTGCCACTGGTGCTTCTCTTAGCACCCCAGTCCCCAGCCAGCGCCAATCTCAAGGGGGCACCGGCCAGCGCTTCTCTCAGTGCCCCCACTTCCTGGCCGGCGAGGGCCAATCTCAGGGGGGGCACATGCCCCCCTACGCGTCACTGATGGGTGCTGCTGTGCAGTGAGAGCTCTGTGAGCAACAGGGGAGATAGCAAGGCAGAATGAAAAAGGCTATTAAAGAGATGGGACTCCCTTTCAGCCTGTTTGACTGACTAACTGTTGAACCCTGTGTGGGGGTAGGACAAAATATGGGGGGCAGTTGCCTGCGTTTCAGTTGATGTCATGTGTTGTTAAATTTGTGAATAGTGACTTTGGGACTGAAAAGGCTGGATCCTGAAGGCAGAAGTCTGAACCCATAGCACAGTTGTAACACAGAAACTGACTTGTGGGTGCCATGCTGAAGCTTTAAAGGTGGAAAGACCCTGTACAGGCACATCTCTAATTCAAGAATTCTCAATTGCCATCAAGTCGTGGCAGGTGTGAACCTCAAAGCAGTGCAGGATTAGGGGTGGGCAAAAAGGTGATTCCTCTTAAGTTCCAGGGCCCAGATACTACATTATGAGAAGTAACAAAAAGGCGAGCAATTACAGTGGTGCCAGGAATCAGCGAGGTCAACTGTGAAAATCACAGCGAACAGAAGACCCAGAAAAGAACCCTAGGGATCACAAAAAAGAAAATGGACTTGGAAAAGTTTTTTAAATTGCCAACCCAGCAACAAGAGGCCAACCAGCAAGTACAGAACTTGGTAGCATAATTGGTACAGACTCAGCAGAAGCTGGCAGAACAACAGGGACTCTTGTTCACATGACAATAGATGATGGTTGAAAAATACTCGGTATCCACCCAACAACAGTCGGATGGGGGAAGGAAAGTAAAAGCCAGCCTGCAAGGATTTGTGCCTCCCAAAATGACTAAAGAAGATGATTTAGAAATATTCTTAGAGATTCTAGAGAGGTCAGCTAAGACAGCTAGATGACAGAAGGCAACCTGGGCTGCCCAACTGGGCCCCCTGTTGATAGGAGAGTGACAAATACTGGCCACTCCAAAAAAAAAAAAAAGCCACACAATATCAGAAGGTAAAGGAGGCAGTGTTACACTACTTAGGCATATCCCTGGAGTACCACAGACAGAAGTTTCGGGACTGCAAGGAAAAAGCAATGTTCTAGGCTTGTCAGAGGGGACAGGTATTACAGGATATCATGTGCAAGTGGTGGAGTCCACAGAAAAAGACGAAAGAGGAAATCATACGTGAGCAATTCATACGGCACCTGGAACGAGAAGCATGGGACTGGGTATGCCAACACAGCCCCTCAACAGTGGAAGTGGCAGGTGGAGGCTTTTGAGGAGGTCAGGGACCTACCTAAGAAACAAAGGTAGCAATGGGAAAAAAGAAGCAAGGCCCAGGCACCCAAAAATATAGAGGAATCTAAGAAAAAGGACTGGACCCCAA